TATATATATATATATATATATATATATATATATATGTATATATGTGTATATGTGTATATATACTGTATTTTGTTTGTTTATGATTTGATTCATGATTAATCTTAGATTTTTTTCAATTCAGTTAAGTCATGTGAAAATGTTGCTTCACGCTCATAGTATATCCAGCCATCATATATAACATAAATTATATAATAAAGATAAAGAATTGTTCATTATATATTTTACAAGATGTGCTCATATTATATCTTGTTTTTAAACTTCTCTTCATTTACATCAATAGGGCCCATTGTATGTGTCAGTTTGAAGTGCTAGCTGCACTATTAGGGGCTGCGGCATCAGAGGGTGAAGTAAATAGTTAAATAACCTACTTTTATGATAACAGTCTTTGGTAAATTACATTTTTGGGTGATTGGTTTCCTTAATTAAATAATGACAAACATATAATTACGTACCTTTTGGATTTTTTATTAATATATATATTTATATTTTTATAAGTGTATACATTTCAAAGATGGGCAAATGTATTGATGGACTCTTTGCTTTATTGTATGTAATAACCATCTGTGAACATCTAGTCAACATTTGGTGACATTGTGATTTATTATTTCCAGAGATACATGTGATATTTACATACCACTACAACAGTGGTATTAGTGGAGTCTTTTAATTCATTGTCTGTGAGCAGCTCCACACTTTATACTTGATGACATTACAAGTTTTACACTTCCTTCTCTGTTTTCTGGCTTTGAGAGAGCTCATATTCACAAACGTTGATTGGACTTTACTAGGTAATGGAAATAACATATTGGAATTCATTCATTGAGATGGTGTTCCCCTTTAAGTCAGATGAGCCCAAAATACTACAGGGCAGCTTCACCGAGTTCAACCAAACGGGAAACAAAATAAAAAGTTCCATCGAGACCAGCTTTTGTGTCACATGAATTACAAAACAGATGTGGTTTTTCATTCTGTGTGTACTAGATTTGTGGCAGAAAAATGGGGGTGAGTTGATGTAATGACTGGACACGTGCCCTATCACCTGTAAAATATAGAAAACAAAAATAATAAAATTGCAGTTCAAGAAACAACTTAGGAGCAACTAGTTGATGGCATGTCTAAGGGTGCCAAGACAACAAACACAGAGAACAGTGATTTAGTTGCTAATTTTAGATTCCTATACCTTTTTACAACTGTCGAAAAAAGCAAACCCACCGTGTCAACTGTCTCTACCTCTCATTCTCTCTACATAAAGCTTTTGTTTCCATACATTTTCTTCTGTCTCTCTTTAATGTCATAATCCTCTCTGTTAATAGTTCTCCCTTTACCCCATTCCTGCCCCCTTTTCATCTTGAGCCATTCATTTAAATGATTGACCACATTCTCCACTTAAACATTAACCAGAGTGAAGCGGGCAAGAGTGGACCAGTCCTTGAAAGGCGGAGTTCTTCACCCACTGCATGGCTTCCACTGCCGTCTGCATTGACTGTCTGTGGCTCTTACTTGGTCCTGAGGCAAGAACCTGAGATTAGCAGATCCCAGTTTGTCCATGGAATAGGAGGAAGTAATTGCAGTAGCAGTCAGAGTATCTAACAGAACCACGTGTTCTGTAATGGAGCAGTCAAATCATTTAAATTCTCTGAGTCCTGCTGAGTTGAGGCTGTTAATCAGGCAGGAGGATCCCAGAATAAGCACCACGACTGGATTAGCTAATGGTAAGAACCAGTGTATCATCTCTGTACTGTTGCATGTGGCACTGGAGCCATGCACTTGGAATTATTTGTGGTTTACTGGTATAACCTTAACCTAGGCTTGAACAATTAGAGGGAACTATGATCAGAATAGCTATGATTACACCCAACAGTAGCTTCTAGGGTCCTTTTTATCCAGTCAGTTAGAAAAAAGTATGACTTTCTACAGATAAATGTACTATTGGGCTCCTATTTATTAAGATATTCCAGTGGTATATTTTACATTTCTGTATAATCATGACTTACAAAAGTGGTTATTTTAATTGAAAACAACAATTTAAAAACTTTAAATTCAAATAAAATGAAAAATTATAAAAATGATATTAAGAATAAATGTAAGTCACATCGGACAATGCTTTGATGTTGCTGTAGTGGCTATTTGTCAAAGAGAAATAATCAAAAACAAAACATCAAAAGGCCACTGATGCACCATTTTAGTCGGATTGTAACTCCAGAAGTCCAATGTCCAGTCGAGATTTGCTGCAAACATTCGTCCTGCAGTCTCTCTCTTGCTCTGGTAAAATAAACATGTCTCTTCCTGGTGCATCACCTGACACTGACCCACCTACTACCTATATCCCTTCACCTAGACACGTGCCCGGCCTGGTGCTCCGTGCCCCTAGTGTCAACAAAAATCAATACAATAATAACAAATAACAAAATAATCAAACTAATGAAATAGCGCCAACAGCTGCACTGACAGCAACACAAGTTAAATCTCTACATGTAGCTGCTCAGTTAGCCTGACAAACCAACAACCCTGTTCCCCAACTGTCTCTTATTTACACTCAACTGCTGGCTATCTGCTATCCACCTGTTTGATTGATCCAATCTTGTTGTCTGATTTGTTTCTGTTATAACATGCATAAACTGTTCTTGTCTGTGTCAGGCTACCAGCAAGCTAACGTCATCATCCTGCCCAATCATCTGGCCGATGACTTTGAAGTTTTCTGTCGCAGAAATCCCGCCCCCTTGCCACTCCTTTATCGCAGCCAGTCAGGGGAGACTTCCTGTCCGCCTCTTGCGAGACATGCTAACATAAGGTAGAACACACACGCACTACACCGCACAGTGAGCAACTATCCAAAAGAGCTGATACCAATAGCAGTATCAGGACGTCCTGAGGATACAGCCTATTATGCTGGATCGGGTATCGGCGATTACCAACGTCTATGCACTGATCTGATATTAAAAATGATCATACCATTCATCAGCTCATTGCTCATGCACAGGAACAACACCACGTGTCACTCACTACTCGATCTGTATGCTGCCCGATTCGTAATGAAATTGGTCGCGAATGTGCATGCATGACTGATTGTCTCTGTGTCTGTCCACGGCTAATCTCTCCTTCTGTTGCAGTAAACTGCATAATATTTTTGGTGGCCAGTTATGGCTGCATGCTCAAGGACCTCTCGTGGTTGAGGTGACTCACACTTTCTCAAAATACCTTTTATTTCCTGCTTTTTACTGACATTGCCTGCCTGCTGACTCCTCACTCACTACTCTTAACCACAAGAGATAAATGGACTGTACTTGTATAGATTACACAGCTGAGTGCATTTCCGACCCCCAGCCGCTACTCTGGGCCAAGAGACACAGTGGGGGGACACAGTTTGCTCAGTAGACTTGAAGCCAAAATATACGCTGTAATTTGCAGTCACGGCCTCATACCCACCTCACAGAGCTAGTGCAGACATCTGCATTAAAATAAGAGCGTGTCTGTTGTGTGAGACATGCGAGTGAAATGCCCCGTCTAATACACTTGTGGTCTAGACGGGGCATTCGTAAATTGTTGTTTGTATTCTTTAAATCAAACGTAACAGCAGTGGTCGTTACAGACACATCTGGCGGAGATCTGCGCTCTACTAAAAAACACCTTTCCAGTGCTTAATAAGCGATGGGAACGATTCCCCCTGTAAACAAATTGATGTTTATGTTAGCTCTCTTTAACTGGTGTCTGCTAAATGTTCAATGTAAAACATTGATGTGCAACTTCCCACACACCACTCAGCATGCTACTCTGTGCAGACAGCAGTAGAGAGGTATTCCAGAAGTGTTTACTGATCGCCAACCCACCACATGGTGATGGACAAACGTGTCTATCAGCTGATGTTCATGGAGGGCATCAGCCAATCACACACTTTACCAAAATAGTCAAATGGGCTTTTAAAATGTCTAACTAGTAACTTGCCATACAAACTTTCAGACAATTTTTCAAGTATAGAAATCAGTGACATGAAACCTCTCTGGTTGGATCTGGTCTTTATAGAACACAGGCTACTAAATGTATTTACTGAATACTTATTGGCATTTTACAATCACTTGTTCTTTAAATGTTATAAAACAAATATATAACTGAAATTTACACAGGAATATGTCTTTTCATAGAAAACGCCGTTACGTCATTGCTGTCAATAACGTTCCAGATCAACGGTGGCAGGTCAACATTACGCTAAAATAATTTTCTGGCTAAATGTATTTATAGTTTGTTCAGGCATAATAGAATCCATTACATTTCTCTTCTACCTCACATCTCTGTGCGGACTGTACACCTCACTGTTTGTTTGTGTCTTCAGGACAGATATTTCTCAATACTATGTGTATGAAGAGGGTTGCCTGGTGAAAAGAGTCTCAAGTCTGCAGAGTTACAGTGCTCAGCCAAGGTATTTTAAAAATGATGAACAGACCACTGCTCTAAAAGGAGTTTGTTAGAGTTCAAACCCCGGGTGCCCCATGCTTGTAGGCCAAAATGTAAAAATTAATGAATATTGTTAAAATTAGGTTAAGATACACAATCATGTTTTAATGAAAAAGTGTTACCTATGCAAAGATTTTAAGCCTAATTTATATTTTGTATATTTAAAAAACTGCACCATTGTTTGCAAGCAATAAAGCATAAAGCATGTACAGCCGGCCATTGTCACACTCCCAAAGGAATCAAAGAAAATCTCTCTACTTGACTTTGTAATCCTACCAGCCTCACTTCTTTTTTAATTGTGCTCCCAGGACTGCATCAGAGCAGCAGGCTGCACATCATGGCTTATGGTCAGACATGGTCTGTTTCTATCTGGGCTGCAGTTTTGGCTTTGAGGGCCAACTGAAGAAAGCTGGAGTCCCAGTCAGGAACGTGGAGCAGGGCACAAATGTCAGCATGTATAGGGTATGGATCAAATATCTACCAAGCTGTATGTGCTGCAAATGAACTGAAACACCTTTTGTATAATTTACCTGTCGGATAGGATAGGACCCAAGTGCAGATTAAACAAGCAGACAGGATCAATTCAGGGATTTATTGCAGCTATATAGGTTTACTGGCAGTGCTGCTAGATTGGGCTGGTTTCCGCCCAGTTGGGCTACGTTTGATTAAGCTTGGCTGGAAAAAATAGCGTTGGGCTGGTAGATGAAATTTGGCGGGGTTTTAAAAATATTGTGAAAATAACATTAACAAACAATTTTATGGTCAAAAACACATGTACTTAATTTAGTCAACTTCACATTCAATAAATATTTGATTGACGTGAGTTGTATACAATCTTTGTTAGGGATAAAGGAGGAGCCACTTATCTTGACATGTATTTTATGTATTTGGTTTTCTGACTGTTTGTGGGTTACGATAGCCTATTTATCTAATCATAATTTCTTTATAGAGCTGAGGTCTACACTAGAGCGGCAACTAAAGATTTAATTAAATTATTGATTAATGCATTTGGGTTTTGTTCCAAACATGCCAGAAAAGATTAAATTGCACCACCATTTTCTAAAGCCCAAGGTGATATTTCTAGATCCCTTGTTTTGTCTAAAAACCAAAGATATACACTGTTTAATGTAATAAAATAGCAGATAAAATAAAATACTAGCTTATGAGACCTGAAATCCCAATCATCAAAATAGTTGCTGGTTATTTTTCTGTCAATCAATTGTTTATTTATCAACTAATTGTTTCAGGTTTGTTAACATTATTTAAAACAGTGTATTCACATGGAATACAATCTATCAGGACATAAATAGAGCAAGCTAAATACATATATTATATTCTCTCTCTCTCTTCATATATATATATATATATACACAGTGGGTACGGAAAGTATTCAGACCCCTTTAAAATTTTCACTCTGTTTCATTGCAGCCATTTGCTAAAATCAAAAAAGTTAATTTTATTATTTTCTTCCAGGATATCTCTGTACTTGGCCGCATTCATCTTTCCTT